CCCGGTTGCTGAGCACCTCCCACAGCCTCCTCCATTGCTCAGTGTCCAACAGCAGCTAAGTCCTAATCCAGAGGAGGCCAAATGGGGTGATCCATCTTGGAATTTATAGTGCATCTTCCCTGAAAGCACCAAAGCCTCTGACAAGCAGGCTAATTTCCCCAGAAGCACCACCCGAGGGAAAGAGGTTTGTCATCCTTCATAATGAATAGGTAGGAATTGGAGTTACAGGGGCCTGGCCTGTCTGCTTATCATTTTCAACTCTCCTGCAGACCTTACATAAGACAAAGTGAAACTTCTCCCTGCTTTGGATGTGACTTTCCAAGAGATGCCTGGGAAGAGTCAGCAGAGCATGGATAAAAAAGACAATACTGTTTTTTTCACCCTGTGCTGCAAAAATGTCTTAAAACCATGCTGGTGTCTCCCATAAAGCTCAGGAGTTTAGGCCAGAGCCGAGCCCTTGCCCCTGGACACATGGAGAGAACTAATCAATATCATATTACAAAAGCACTTGACCTCGGTTATCCTCATGGATGCTTGGGGAATCCTTAATATTCAGAGCTTTAAAAATGTGCGCCTGGCCTATTTAACAGGAAGCTCCTCTGTAGGTTTGGTTCCCGGTGACATTTAGAAAGATTGGCTCTCAGCGTCTCTCCAGGGGGCTGCCACTCCAGCCCAGGAAAGGGCCTGGGCTCTGGCTACCAGCAGGGGAGGAGATGTGTCCCTGGGGATGCAGCAGGGTAGCGCCAGGGAGAGGGCAGCAGGGTACACGGAGTGCTCAGTAGAGCATGAGGTGATTACCCGTTCTTATGAGAACCTAAGAGCCGCTGATTCATCCTCTGGGCTGTGTCTGATGCTGACAGAATGGCTGGGCTATGAGTCAGCTGACCACCGGCCGAAAGAGGTGATGGACAAAGGATTCCACTCGGTGTGACCTTCTTCACTGGTGGAGTACAGGCTGAGGAGAGGAGAGGAGGCAACAGGACTGACCAGAGCTGGAGGGTGTCAGCCCCATGCACATCTTTCAAGCATGAAATCGCACACTGCCCGCAGGAAGCCTCCCCTGATTGCCTCAGGTGAATTAGGGCTGTTCCCCACCCCACCAGGGTCTCCCTCTGCACAGCCCCTGTACCCTGGAGTGACCTGTATGCCCTGACTTGCTTAAGCACAAGTCCATGTCTGACATCTCTTCTTCCTGCTCCTGGCCTGGCTGGTGAGGGAGAGGAGACCACGTTGCAAATAGTCACATGCTTGCTGCTACTGGGGATGGGGCAGGCATCGCTCGCCAGCTGTGCAACTCAGCTGTTTCCTTTATGAAACCCTTTAATTTTTCTCCTTCAAGATGCTCAGAGAGCTCATCCTCTCTTCTCTGGGATATCTTTTTGGCAGATTTATTTTCTCGTTCATTATGATCTTCATGTCACATAAGAAATTAGGGAAAAGTGGATGGTTTTCTTCAGGCAATAGTTTTGGGTTCCTTGTAGGTCCAGGGTCCCTGGCCCTGCTGGTAGGGTTGGAGACTCTCTCTGCTGTACCACGAATCTCCAGGGTCACATTGGCACTATTTTTGCCAGCTTTGTCATCTGCCAGGGCATGGGTTGAGTCGTTCAGAGTGTCTTTACCTTGCCCACAGTCCCCTTTTGTTGCAGTTTATGGTTGCCATGGTGACACCCAAGGACTTGCCCCCCCATGCCTCCCAGCAGCAATGGTCTCTCAAAAGCCGTCACACCTATGGCCTTGGCGGTCTTTCACTCATTATTAATTGAAATATTGAGAGCCAGTTCTCCACGTGGGCACCAGGCAGCAGTTTGCCACATCCAGTCTGCTCTCTGTGGGGGCTGTGGCGCCTCTCCTTGGAGCCAGAGCCCTGAGGCTAATTAGAGGTTCACACACCATGATCTAATCCTGAGGTCCCTACAGAGGGGAGCCTCTTGCCAACACACAAGCCATTCAGTCACAAACTATTCTTCGCACAGGCTCTAGGGCTTCACCGTTGCGCCTTTTCCAGTTACAAGCGTTTGTCTGGAGGACACTCCCTCCCTCCTCCATAGCAATCAGCACCAAAGCGGTCCTAACAAACCGGTCAGTGTCCAGATTAATCAGGAGCCGGATTTACAAAGGTGGCTGAGAAGGGGCACAGCCTCCTGTGCCTGCTCTGCTTTGCTAATCTAGCCCGTGTTTATTTTTAAGCACAAATACCAAAATGTCTCTTGACAAATGAGACGTGGAACGAATGAGTTTTTGCACATAAACTTTTAGTGCAAATATGTATTTGGCTGAGCTGGGCACATATGGGCACAAGAACGGCTTTCTCGCCTCGCTGTGCAGTAGCTAAAGGAAGAGCTGAGCAAATCTCCCTGTCTGCCCCCTGGCATTCCTAAAGTAGCTCACTCAACTCCTCACGGAACACCAGACTTCCTTCTGATGGCTTTCTAGGAGCAAGTACATAATGGGAGTTATCTGGAGAGATGCGCTGGGACCTCTCCTGAAGAACTCACCAATCTGAAACAGTCAGAGCGTCTGCCCAACCTGGCCTGCGGTGAGCCTTTTAGTCCCTCCGAACCTCCATCTACCCTCCTCTGCTCTGCTCTGAGCCCTGGGCGGATGGACGTCCACAAACTGCTTCACCTTGGATCCCTTGCCCTTGACTTCTCTGATAGGAAAATGGAGGTTAGGAGGAGAGGGTAGACTTTGCTGGGTCATTGTGGGTTGGCTGAGGCCACAGCTCCTATCAGGCAGTCCATCCTCTTTGACATTGGCTAATTGCTCCCTTCTCTGGCTCCTTCAGCCTAGGGGAGCTGAGAGCTCCTACTGCTGCTAACCCTGGACACCTGCAGCCGTCCTCTGCTGGCCACCCTGACCCCGGTTCACACCTTTATAAATACCCTTCCTCAGCTCCCCTTAGTGGCTTTGAACATGCCCTCTATTTCTTCCAGCACTTTGACTGATACAGACTCTGCAAAAACTTGTGCTTGTTAACCATGAGGACCCCTCCCCACCAAGCTGCAGAGAAAACTGTGAGCTGGAGATGTCAGGCTCCGGTTGCTGTCCTTCAGCTCCCTCTCTAGCCTATGCCACAGCAGGGGCTGAGCCGTCTCTGGCTGGCTGGCTGCCTCCTGGGGGCACTGAGTGTGACCCACATTTGGCCTCGGAGCTCCAGGCACTGGTCGGCAAGACAGTCCTGCAGAGGGGTTATTAATATCTACCACCCACAAACGTCTTCATGCTTTACTCCTTGACAGCCCGGGGCCTGGGTGACCTTGGGTGTTTGGGAGAGACAGGACACAAGCCTGGGCATGGTTTCCTCCTTCGGACCAAGGCCATTCGGATGCATTTTAGGATTACTGGTCATATAACCTACTTCTCTCTGCTCAGGATGGGACACAAAGGTCCCCATAGCACAGTGACTTTCCTAAGAGCTTCACAGAGAATGGTGGGGGCACAGGCTTTCTAACCTCTCAACTGAAGACCCACCTTCCATATCTTCCAAAGGAGAGCAGGAGAGAAACCCAGGGCTCCCTGTGAGATACACCTACCCAGTTCCTGGCCTGTTGAGGAGCTGACAAAAGTTACTGGGTGATAGAGACCCTAGAGGCACTGCTGAGTCACTTTCTGGGTGTCAGTGAACACTATGGCCCACCTCAGGAAAGACAGAGGGGAGATTATGCCCAGACCTACGTGAGCATTACCATACCACCCTGCAGCTGGCCAGTGTCCAAGGCCCCACTGCCTGAGATGACCCTGGACCTTTTGCTGTCAGGACTGAGCTGACATGAGGACCATGTGTCTTCTTGGAAGAAGGGCACCTCTCACGGGTGGGTCCACAGTCATGGAATGGAATGCCTGGAGCTTTCCCACTCTCTCATTCAGCCTTATGGCCAGCTCAGAGACTGGAAATCTGACTGGCTGTCCTAGGCTCCAGGGTCCAGGAGAAGAGGGAGGTTCAAGTAGGAACAAGTTCACATTTGTCTCATTACCATTTTGTGGGGAAGACCAAGTTCACTCTCATGGATCTCTTTCATGCAGTGCTTCCTTGACCAAATTCTTCAACCAATCCTGTTCATTCTACTTAGCTTTTAAGCCCTGCCACAGCTTAGCCTCCAGCTGCCAACCACTGAGCTTTATTCCCCCCAATTCCTTCCCCTCCAACCGGAGGAGCTAAAGGCCATGGTCACAACAATGAACATATGCAAAGCATTTTCCATACCAAGTTTCCTCTGAGGTTGGGGATTATAGATGTCCATTTTATAGATGACCCAGAGATGTTAAATCACTTGCCTAAACTCACATAGCCACTAAGTGGTGGAGGTACAACTTATATCTTGGCTTTTTGTCTTTCAAGTCTTTTCACTTTGCCACTCTACTCACGGTCTCAGAGACATCCCAGAGTAAGTACCAGCCTCTGCTGCTCAAGTTTACTTGCTGGGGCCCAAAAATGGGGTGAAAGGGTCTTTTCACCAACTGGCATCAGTGAAGCCAACCACTCTGTAAGTCCACAAACACCTTTCTAACACATCCATTAGACACTAGGTAGAGGTGGTCACTGCAGGCAGAGACAGTCTTGAGTTTCACCGTGAACAGACGATGTTGGAAAGCAGTTGACAAATCAACAAATACATTTTCCAAAGATCCTTTTATCTGAATCGGACCACAAGATGGCAGTGGATGAGGGCAGAAGCAACATTATCCATATCTAGGCCTCCTCCTTAAAAAGGCACCTTGCCATTCTCAACATCTACGTTTCCTTGAGAAGGTCACACGCCGTAGAAGAGTTTTGTCAGAATATTCTCAATTTCCCAGGAACAGCACATACTAAGGGCCATTCTAAATGCATATACTCGGCACATGCCTTAGGGTCTTAGAGCATCATTCTGTCAGAGAATTGTGCCAAGAAGGGCCGAGTCCATCTCTTCCCTCCTCTGTTGGCCATCTGTCCCTCCGCAGAGTGACTCTGGGAGACACTCACCGAAGCTGGTAGAATCTCCGTCAGCCTGAGTGGGGCTACCTGCATGGAACGAAGCTACCACACCCTATTCCAGACTTGATGTGAACGAGAAAAAAAATACATTTGAAATCTGTCAAGCCAGCGACATTTTGGGGTTTGTAACAGTAGCTAGTGTCATCTGAAATTAATAAAGGGGGTAAAATGATCCAGGCCAGGTGGGCGAGCTTAGGGCTGTTTGGGGAGGCTCTCTACAGGTTCCAGCTGTCTCACTTCCCCCAGGCCTGGAGGAAAGTCCCGAGGGTCCCTGTGCTGGGCTGAGAGGGACGAGGCCTCCAGATCCGGGCAACAGCCTGAGATAGAGGCAGCTCCCACAGGGGAATAAAAGAGCAAGAGAGCACCGAGCTTACAAGCAAGACAGACAGTGGCTCCGAACTGTTCGTGGGGTGAAGAGTCAGCCAGTGGGGTGGGATAAGACAGCGACAGGAGACTGCCTCCTCCATTCAGCAGGACAGCCAAGGCCTGCCTCCGTGGCTGGCAGCAGGTGGCAGCACTCTGAGCACTGCCCATCAGGACAGTGCGTTCCATCACTCCTGCCTGGAAGGTTTTACAGGAGACTGTCCCAGTCTCTGGGTGCTGTAACAACAGCTGAGATGCTCTCTTTAGGACTCTGCATCAGAGGAGACTGAGGGTGGGGTTCCGGGAGGCAGTGACTCCTTACAATCAGACCCGGAAGAGGGAGCACTGGAGCTGAGCCCCACCTCGGAGCAGGGAGAGGGGTGGGGAGCATCCTGGGCCGCAGGCTATCCTGCTCACTACAACCCGCTACTGCTTGGCAGTCCCTAAGGTGCCTGCCATGGCTCTCCCACACCCTCCCCACAAGTCCTCTGCCCCCCATCCCTCCGAGCTCCCTAGGACAGCCAGTCTTAACCTCCGCGGACTTCCTAACTCGAGATGGGGCTCTATCCTTAACCCCCCTGAGCCATCACTTGGACCCTCCTCCAATCATCCAATAGAAGACAGGCCACACAGCCAGGCCTGTCCAGAGTCTCGGACAAGTGTGTTTAACTGAGTGCACACTCAACTTTACCCACCAGTCCCCAGTCTCAGCGAGGGGCCAGTCCCCTGCTGCCCTCCCCCCGGAAAAGCTCCGAGGCACACTTGGGGTTCCAGGAATAACGCTGACCGGTCCGCACTAGGAGCGCCGCCCACAGGGCCCAGTTCTTCAAACCTCAGAAAGGGGGTGGGAGGGTCCCCCAGTACTCCAGCCTCGGTGCCGCAGGGCAGCCCCGACACTTAGAAAAGCTCCTAGAGGCCGCGGCGGCGAAGACAGACAAGGGGCGGGGTGACGGCTGGGAAAGCGCAGACAACGACTCAAGGCAGGTAGAGAAGGACCCAGGGCCACAGCCCGGCCTGGAGCCAGCCCGCAGCGCATCTTCTCCCGCGCGCCCATCTTACCTGAGCCGTGTCTCTGGCGTAGAAGCACCGCCTGCCGGGCTGGCGGCGACGCTGACGAAGCCGCGGCTGCAGCTACCACGGTGGTGGCGGATGTGTGGGCCA